ACATTTTACATGTTGCTATGCCTCCAGTGTAATCACTTCATAGAATCCCTACATTGTCGAAACAGGCCATTCAGCCCAACAAGTCCACACAGACTCTCTGAAGAGCATCCTACCAGACTCAATCCCCAACTTATCCCTGTAACCCTGCATTTCCCACAGCTAATCCTCCTAATTTATACCTCCCTGGACACTTGCCAAACGCCATCACTGATGTGCTGCAGACTACAGTTTCCCAAGATACTGTCACTCTCACCAGTATTTAGCAATGTAGACTGGTTTGAAGTACACACATGGAGGACCCCTCCACCACAACTCTTTTCATGCGCTCTGACGTCTCTACTATCCTCCTGTTGAGTTATAATATTACCATTTCCTGGATCATGAGGTCAACAAAATAATTTTCAACTCCCAAGCATTATGGTGTACACAAATGGCATTGAAACTGCAGACAATGATTTTAAATTATCACAAGATTTTAGTTAAAATTCTAAATTGTAGATCTATCTCTACTTCAATATCTGCTCAATCATATTTGATTTAAATTGTGCACACCAATTTTTATTTAATGCACCCGATCTCTAATATTAGTACCCTCCGCTTCTATTCTTTTAGATGTAATTATTGTCCCACGACTTAAAGCACTTAGTAACTCCTTGCCTCTTCTGCAGAGATTTCCCACTTTCATCTAATTGCATTCTTCTTAGTATGCATGAGCTTTGTGCATCACAGATAATGCTCTAATATCTACCTAGAGTCACAGAGATGTATAGCACAGAAATAGACCTTTCAGTCCAACTCATCTATGCCGACTAGATAGCCTAAATTAATCTAGTCCCATTTGCCAACATTTGTCCCATATCCCTCTAAGCACTTTCTATTCATATACCAATCCAGATGCCTTTTAAATGTTGTAATGGTACCACTTTCTCTGGCACACCTGTTAGAAACTCATTACTCATAACTGGTTCATCAATAATGAGCCACAATAAACAACACCTTGACAGTAGTCCACCTACAAATGATTAACCATTAACTGTCTATGATTTACAGCTTTGAAGAAAATTAGTTAAATTTCAGTTTGATAATAACAGTGTATTACTTGGCAGTAAATTATCTCCCTCACCAAATTCCCATTGACACTTCATTTAGCAAATACTCCCAGGTCTGTGCACACCTTAGTGGCTGAGTTTAAAAATTAAACACAAGAAATAGCTATCTCTTTGTTATCTTACAAACGTTATTTATTGCATTAAGAAAATAAGTTCAGTGAACATCTAAACTGGTGGTTGACAGTAATAACTTCCTTTTGCCTGTTCTTATTAGTAGTGTTTTTGGATGACTCACTGGCCTCTGTTCATTTACATTTCCACTTGCTAATATAAATATACTTGTATAGGAACTGAAAATATGAAATTGTACGTTGAATATTTTATTAAAACAATCAAATTACAAAAAATGAAAATGCACTTGTGTAACAAATTGTATAATTCATACAATATTTTGATATGTTAATCATTGAATTTAGATATGTAAGAATTACAAATGTACAAAGTTTCAAACTAAACAAAGTCAGAAACTGCTGGAAAAACACAATAGGTCTCACAGCATCAGTGGAGGGAAATCAGAGTTAATGTTTCAGTTCCAGCAGCCCTTCTTCAGAACACCACTGTTCTGAGGAGGGGTCACTGGATCTGAAACATTAACTCTGATTTCTCTCCACAGATGTCGCCAGACCAGCCGAGTTTTTCCAGCAACTTCTGTTTTTGTTACAAAATTTCATTATGTGTAATTATCAATTTCTGTACTGTCAGAAGGTTTGCTTCAATTTTGTGTGAAACTCCCTTGCACACATATCTGTGACCAAATTCTCCTACCAGTAAGCCTGGCGCAATCTTGAACTCTCAGAATCCCCCCAGTGCAGAAAGACGCTATTTGGCCCATCAAGTTACACTGTCACTCTGAAGAGCATCCCATCCTGACCCAACTATTATTCATCACTATTTGCACACCATTGTACTATTTTGGGTCATCTCTCCATTCCTTTACCCCTGCATACCCTGCAGCCTGCCTCATATGCAGTCAACCTGATTTCCAATACTGCTAATCACACAGCCTTCCAAATCCATCTTACACCTATATACAACTCCTCCTTCAATCTACATAACCAGCCTTTGGAGAATCTTCTGCAATTTTTTTTATAGAACAAGGAAAAGCATAAAATTTAATGAATCAGTAAATTAATTTAAATTGTAAATCAAGGCCACGCATTCAGGACAGACGTAATTATGGGATCTTAGCCCATAAGCACCACTAACATTCCAATACACTACAACAAACATAATTTTACTTCACCATTGTGAGTTAATGTTTCTGAGTAAATGCTACAGACAAGGCAGCAAGGAACATGAAGCAAAGACAGGTACGTGGAGATGAAGTACAGGGCTGCCATGTTCCAAGAGAAAAGAAGCATCACGTGTGCCTTTCGTGGCCTCATGGTACTTTAAAGTCAATGAAGATCTGACTGAATAGCAGAATTGTCACAAGATACTGAAAGCTTTCTCCCATTCCGAAAACAAAAGTCTCTGACTCACTGAGAGATATGCTAGAGGATATTGCTAGTCTGCATAAGTGTTATTAAAGAATAACACTTGTCTGTTCTAATTTATAGAGATAGAACCTGCTAACATTTTTGGTGGGAGTTTCACTTTAGCTCCCAGAGTTCACCAGACCAAACAACTTGAAATCATGTATGTGAACTGCTGCATGAAAAATGGTTGTCATGATAAGCAGGATTTGAACCACTACTACATGAACAGATCCACACCTCACCTGGGCGTGTTTACTAGTTTGGAGCCCTGCTAACCAAAAGGAACAATCAGACTTGTGACATTATTAGTTGGATTTAGTGAAATCTCTAGTGAATTGAACACAAAGAATAGTCACATGGTTCCTAGCAGCCAATGGGATTCACACGAAATGCCACTAAAGGTCAGAGTCACATGATCGCACAGCCCAATGAGATTGTTTAAAGCGGATACAAAAATTTGGAAATCTGTTACTTTTAATATAATTTTCTTAATTTACTGAAGATAGGATTGGTTTTAAAATGTTATTACACTTCATCTATGCGACAAAAACAAATGTTAGTTCCAATTATTCAAAGTCTATTTTTTGGTTACTGCAAGACCTAAGTTATTTAAAACTCTTAGAATAAAGCTGGAAAAAATCCAGTACACAGTGTATTTTCACACCTCATTAAATATTACTTAGAAGTAACATACAGTGGTTTAAGAGTTATATCTGCATAAAGACATACTAACGGTGTGAAGAGGTTTAATTAGAATTGGGATGGGAAGAGTTAAGGAAAATATTACTGTGTTGGGACTTTAGTAGACTTCGTTCGTGCCTGCACATTTTTTAATCTACCAGTTCAAACTTGATTTACATAATATCAGTAATCCGATTTATCGTTTTATCAGCAAAAGTGTTAAATACAGGATATTAAAATACGAGTCTTTTGGCTGGAAGAATGTTACAGTTAGAACTGCTAAACGAATAAAAATAACAGACTAAAGAAACCGGATTCTTGCTCATTCGCTTTCTCAAAGGAGCTGCAGAAAAAAAACCTCAGTGCACATTTCCACACGTCAACGGGGATGAAAATATCATGAATGCATCCAGGAGGAAAACAAATAATTTCCAAACGTTTATTTGTATAAATAAAGTACTTAGTTTAATATTTCGAATGTTACACCTCCAATTCTTGTTTTAGGAAAGAAAAACAGCTCTCTCTTTCCTTTCGCTTTTTCTTTGATTCTTCTCTAATCCAATTTTTGCAGCTTGAAATCTGAAACCCAACCACTAAAACTTTCAAGCACTCCTTCCGCCATTTTGTACCAAACTACAGAGAAGTGAGACAAGTTCAAGTGTACAATATTACTATAATCTGTTTATAAACTTCAACATATTTGCTCTTCTCCGGAGAAAAGTCACTATGCAAAATATAATGTTATTAAAATAAACAAACACATGGTTTACTGAATTAATATGCGAACAAAGTTCAAAACATTATTTTTGGTTGATATTTGAAATACAATAATACTCCAGACACAAAATTTGCATTTTATCAACAGATATGTATTACTCAAAGTAATGCCGTATAGTAGGGCGTCACGGCCTGTTATGGCCTGTAGCAGGATTTATTTATAAACGTGTGTGTTAAGTAATATGCTTTTTGTTGATTTGAAATTTTACACTTTTTGTGCATCATCTCGAAATTTCAAGTAACCGACTAGCAGGTACTTATCAAATGCCCAACCCTGGTTGTGGAAAATGCATAAGGAAACTCAGATCTTTTTTTAAAGAAAGTATTAAAATTCAGATGGTCACAAATAAAAGTTCACAACAAATTATTTGATTTGACTGAGCAGGTTTTCTTTTATTGTTTGTGTATATCTGTGTTTTCAGAGGGAACGAACCAGTGCTTGAAATAAGTCACCCACCACCCTTTATATAAAAAAAGAAATTGAAGAAAGATTTTCTTTCCACCCCCATTTAAAAAAAAGTTAAATAAATAATCCCAGTTGAGGAGTTTGAAGTGAGGAGTCGCTACATCCGGGCACTTTCCCTAGGCAATGAGAGCCGCAGCACCGCTGTTCCTTAGGCAAAGTGAAATAAATTCGCCAGCGCTCGCGCCGGCAAATAGTTCCCGGCTCCTCGCGCTCCCACCTCCTCTCTCACCCCCCCCTCCCCACCCAACTCCTCGCGAGCCGTAGGCGCGCCCCCGCCCGCGCAAGCCAACAACCCAACCTAAACGGATGGGTGGTGATGAGGGAGGGAGCGCGCGCGCGCTGTGGAATGGCGGGGGCGAGCAGGGGCAGAGTGCGGGCGCGCGCGCGCGCGTGGAGTGGTTGGAGTAGAGTAGAGTAGAGTGGGAGTGGGGGCAGGGGAGGGGAGAAGGGATTGAGCGTGAAGCCCAGTAAGTAAGTGAAGAGGAGGAGAGAGAGGGGCGGGGGAGCGCGCACTGCACAGTCACTTTCTTTTCTGGAGAGAGGGTGGAAAAAAAAACGGGAAGTTTTCTTTTAACTCAATTTCGTTAAAAAGAATCGGAAAGAGAGGAAAAAAAAGAAGTGAAATAAATTTTGGGCCGCTCGGGGTTTTTTTTAAATTAATTTTTGTTTCTTTCCCCACCCCCCTTCCCCGCATCCTTTTCCGTTTTTTTTAATCTTCTCAGTCGGTTTATTGTCGGTGCTATTTTTTTAAAAAAAAAACAATTCTATGATTTCGGCCCCTCTTGTGATAATAATTTGGATGGGAGAAATGTTTTTGAAGTTGTTGTTGGTCGGGCAGCTCACCGCCCCCCTCTGGCTCGGCGGCGGCGCAGAGTGATGAGTCCGGTGGATGGCGAGAACTAGTTTTGCGTTCACTCTGCCTGTATCTTTCTGTTTCCTCTTCACTCTGTCTATATGCATTTATATATGTTATATAAAAGACATTTACCAATATAAATAAAACGCAGATATTTGTACACATGCGGCCGACTGCGATGTTTAATGGACTTTCTCCCCCCTGAAATTATTTCGGGCCCTGTTTTTGTTGAATTGTATTTCTTTCTACTTTTTTTGGCTGCTTGAGGAAGGGGGGTGGTGGTGGTGGAAGAAGAGAAGGGGAACCGGGTATTTACTTTTAAAAGGGGTGGAAGGAAAAAAAAATAGTGAAGGAAAGTGGCGCGGGAAGTAGAGGAGATGGAGTTACAAACTCTGCAGGAGGCTCTGAAAGTGGAAATCCAGTTTCATCAGGTAACCTGGTCTCTTTTCAATTATTGCATGTGTGTGTGTCTTTTAATTTCAACCACTACCTCTCAGCGACACACCAGGCAAATCTGTTAAAAGGGAATAATAACCATTTTATGTATTTTAATAAGAATATAATGCTAAAATGTTGCGCTCAAACTTTTTTTTACATTTTGGGTGTACCATATTTTTAAGTATTTGAAAACTGCATCAATCATTTTTTTGGGGGCAATTGTAGAGAAATGAAAACAAGTGGGTAACTAAAAGAACATTCTTGTTATTCAATTATGAATGAAAGTTTGAATTTGCAACAACTAGTCATTTGATTATATAATTTTAAACAAAAATTAAATCTGCATATGATTTGTGCATGAAACATCTTCTGGTATTCTGGAAAGCATTATTCACTCTTTACTGATTTTTGCAGTTAGGCAGAAATTAAATACAAAGGATTAATCATTGATTCCAAGTCATGTATATGTATTTGCATTAAAGCAACCTGAAATTTTATTCAAATCCATATTGTTGAAAAAAGATGATGTAGTTAGCATAACACTTGACATCTAAGAGGCCTGATTGATAAAGTAGCTCCTTGAAATATTGACTGTAGTATGGTCTCTCTCAAGAACATTAACTCTTCTATTTTTTCTTGTTTTCCAAACAGAAACTTGTGGCCCAGATGAAACAGGATCCACAGGTATAATTCATGTTCTGTTTACTTTTTCAAATGTGGCATGTTATGATTTTGCGTCATACTATATATAAGCTCTGATTCAGTAAATACATAATTATAATTGTTTTTCTATTCTAATTCATCAACGTAATTAAAACTTGGAAATGTGCAGTATGAATTATCTTGGTTTTAAAAACTCATTATAATTCTAGCCTATTCCAAACCCTTTGGCACTTTTAAACTCTGAGACAGAGAATGAGGTTTTTTTTGTTAGTCATTTTTATTTTTGAGAGAGGCTTTTTAATTTTCTCCCTTAACTTAAAATATTGACTAATTTTCCTAAGATGGTAATGGGACTTATTGGTAATGAGATGATATTACATTGTATAAATTTCATTTCACAGAATGCTGATTTGAAGAAACAGTTACATGAATTGCAAGCCAAGATAACTGCTCTCAGTGAGAAACAAGTAAGAGGAAAATGGATTTGTGGCTGCTCTGTTCCAGATGGTTGTGTTTTCTCCAGGGATGAGCTCAGCCTGGAGGATAATCAATAGTTTTCTGGAAGTTTATACAGCTAGTAGAGTTAGTTTGTGATGGTTTTATTTTTGTGGGGGTTGGCAAGAAATAGCTGATGTTTGGATAGAGGCCAGATTACACCTGTTACTGTGACTGTCTTTTTCAGATTTTGTACACCTAAAGAATGATGGGAGCTGCAGATATTTTGAAGCAACAATGTTTTTCCTCTAATTCCAACCTTTTATAGTGCACATCTAATATCCTATTTATCTCTTCTCTAAGTCTTTAAATCTATTTTTAGCTTTTGTAGTTAACTGTGCATATTAATTCTTTGTACTCTTTAAATAATTTTACAAACAGATTTTGAGGTGGTGTATTTCTCTCTGATACTTCCCTCATTCTCACTTGGTCTAGCTTAGCTCTTTCTATCAAACATTCATTCCTTTTGTTAAGATTTTGCAATTTTACCTTCTGCCCCTTTTTGAGTTGTTTTCGTACCAGTGCAGTAAGGGTTTTGCTCGCCTGTGTTTCCTTTTTGGCTTTGTGTATTTGCGGAGGTTGGGGGAAATGTATATTTCTGGGTGTGAATTAACAACCCCCTGTCTTCCCCCCCCCCCCCCCCCCCCCACACCTTTTTCCTTTGTTTCTGTATCTAGTTTCTTTGTGTATTCAATTTCACAATTTACACACAGTCCAGTATTTTACAGCATCCTGCCCTCTTCCATCCTCAAAAAGGACAAGTGATATATTGTCAAGCTGCATCTATATCTGAGTTCGCATCATGCTACTTCTAAGTATATTGTTTCTTCAGCTATGAATTTTTAAAAACCAATGAAATATTTTAAAGACAGAAAAGCAAAGATCTACCGAAAAGCATTCATGTTTGAACTCCCATCCTCAAGACTATTGATGTATGTACCTTGTTAGTTCTAGAACAGAACCCTTAATTACAATTTTAAATCTTATGTTCTCTTTAAAGCTTTTGTCTGATTTTGTTTCTATAAAGTCGGCCTTCAATCATTGTCATGTGATTAGCTGCCTTAGTAACCATGCGGGCCAACCACCAGTTCAGTGTAGAAATACGTGCTGCAGTGAGTATTTGGATTTGACTTGCTGTTTTTACAGATTGTGTGGTTTAAAAGCTGACGTTTTTGGTACATTAAATTTGTGCCTTAGTAGTTATAGTATTACACTTTGGCAACAGTGTACTGTTGTGGAAGAAGATTTGATTAGAGTACTGTTCATTTTTAAAGTAGCTGTATTCTGTTGGCTTGTAACGTAAAGAATGATAGTGTAAAAAAAAATTACCGAACATTTTCTGAACTCCATTTCAGAAGATTATGTGAGACTAATTTTGCCTTGATTACATAATTCTGCCTTAATTATTTTGAATTTTGTGAAAAAAAAGTTAAGCACTGATATAGATTTCATACTTATGAGGCTCTGAGAAGCTACATTATTAGATACTGATCATTTTAGTAACCGTAGAGAGCATTCTTTCTGGAAGTCATCATTAATTTTCAGAAACATTTCTGCAGTCTCTGGAAAGTGGAAGATTGGCTTTCTGTTCGTTAACTTCAAGATTTATTTATACTGAGCTTGGCAACTCTGAGGTTGAGAATTCAATTTTTGACAAAAGGATCTTGAATTTGAGCTCTAGATTTACCTATGTTTGGTGAAGTTGACTGTCAGTTGGATAGTTTTGCTTAATCCTTCTGATTGCTAAGTATGGACTGTATTAGGTAGTGTTGTGAACTTGTCTTGCTGAAAACCTACCACCTGCTGGCCAGTTATGGAGTATTGTAGAGGTTGTCTCCAGCTTTTTAAATCATTGCTATGCTTTTCTTTGTCAACATCAATCTTTAGTGACTTATTGTATGCGTTTTTTTCTATCTCGCAAGAGGTACATAAATCACAAATGTTGATAACCAGTAAAAGTTGAAATATATAAATTCTTTTTCTGTGAGCTAGAATATTTCATACTTTTGGATGAAGAAGAGATATGTAATAGCAAAAAAAATGAGAATTTGTTTGAACTAGTGTTCTTTCGATAATTGTTCATTATTTGTTTAAGACATACCATAGTATCAATCCAAGGCATGGTTGTAAGGGAATGTCAGGTTTATACCCACTTCCTTCGGTCTCTGAAATTGACACTGTGCTGCTTTGGGTCAGAGCAAATGGAGTCAAGGTGATTCACAATATGGTGTTAAAGTGACCAGAGCTTTTAACACATCTTGTCACATCTTGCTAAGGGCAGCAGTAAAGCAGACTGGAGTGTGGGGAAGGGGTTGATGGTATGTTTATTGAGCAAATAAATGTCATCAATAACAATAAATGTTTCATACTGAATTGGACTTCAGTGGTATAGTTATCAATGATAGTATTTTAGGTACTTTGCATAAACCTAGCCCTTTTGTGTTTGGTGTCAGAAGACAACTTACGTAAGTGAAGTAAGTGTTTTGTTTGAATCATGAGAGTCATAGTGAAGTGTAATATCTGATAAATGTTTGTCCAGTATGTATTTCCTTTTTTATGGCACTGCCGAAATTTCTTGATCTACCATTTTTAAACTTGATACATATTGAGCATAAGTAACTACAGCATTATTAGAAGTACAAAATTATACATGTTTGGAATTCAATCAGGACTAATCTATTATTGTGAAAATTTGGAAAAGCATTTATCCAAATGCTTACAAGTACAATTGATACATTTTAAAATCTGTTTTTGTAATACTTTTATTCAACTAAATGAGAATTAAACCAATTAATGGAGCAGTAACAGGGTCCAAGATAAATAAGTTCAAGAAGATTGCATCTTCGCTGCACTTCTTTTAGTTATTTCATTTTCAATCAGAAGACAATGTGTCAATGCATTTTCAAACTTCAGGAAATGTATGTTATGAAGGAAGTTTCCTAACCAGAGTGGCAGCATTTAATTGATGTTGATATTGCAATATTGAAATGACAAAACTTTAGGACACCAGTGGATATCTTTGTTGATAAAGTTAGGAAATAACACCTAGGAGAAAGTGGAGGGAGAAAAAAGGAAACTCAAATTCAAAATTGAGATTTTTAATATTTCACGTATTGTTTGGCAGAGTAGTGTTTAAGACTTTCATTTTGTCGTCTACGACGGTGTGTGTCATGAGAAGCCTTAGGCCACATTTAAGATTTGAATGGCTGTTTCTATTAATTTGCATAAGTTTCAAGTTGCTGATACAAGTGGATTGTAGTAAATGTTTTAGGATTAGTCACCGATGAGGTAATAGCACTTAAAAAAAAAAAAGTTTTTTCCAAATATTCAGATTTGCATAATTAAACTTGGAGGAGTGAGAAACCAGTAAGTAGAAGTATGTGCAAAAAGGACAAAATGTTATGATTTCGATAGCTGGGTTCATATGGCTGCACTGGACTTTGTGCTGATTGCAAAACACCAAAGGCAGTTAGTCTGAGGTCTGGATGACGGTTGCAGTGTTTAACTGCTAATTTGCTCTTTGTGTTAAGCTTACAGCTGAAATATGCCTTGTCTGACTGGTCTAAATAGACCCTGAAGTCACTGACCGGTTAATTGCTGTTAGTCGGGAAAGTTCACATTGTAAACCACTATTTCCCAATCAAGTTCCTTTCCCAACAGAAATTAACCTGAATTTACGCATTTAAAGTACTTTTGACATGTTTGAGCAGAAAGGGCATGTATAATTTTGTAAACGTAATCATGATATATCTTTAATGATATACTGTGATTTTAACCCAAAAAAACCCCACCTGATCTGCTTTCTCTACACCACAGCCTCCCTGCACTTTCACCATATTAATAAGTGGCAACTGTCAAGGCTAATATCAATCAGAATTCCTCATTTAGGTGATCATGGTTGCATGAAATTATTGAAAAATTTTCTTTATGATTAAATTTATTGCCTTTTGTTTTTATGTGGCATCTATTGCTCAGGAATAATACTTTATCTTAGGGCAGTCTCTAGTAGAGAGATTCACATGGTATCACTGGAGCCATATCGAATGCTTTGATTCTTAGGATTAGTTTTCTGTTTTGTAACTTTTAAAGTAATGTGCACTGAGGACTCCAGTAATTAATTTGGTTTAGTTTCTTCTAAAACAACTTTTGATCATAGTTTTCACTGTTCATTGATGTACCATATACCTCTACAACTATAACTACAATGATTGTGACAAGATCGCTGCTAGTTTATTGTGAAACAATTTTCAGTCAATATGACTGGAATGCGTCATGAAGACTCGCAGTTGGTTGTGCTGCATGCCAGAAGTATTTTGCCTAAATGATTTTGTAACCCACATGAATTATACATGAATATGACACGATAAATATGCTCTATATTTATGCTCTCGGGCATGAGATTTTTAATTTGCGCTGTTTCTCTTTAATTTGGTTTTTTTTTTGTTTTCAGACTCTTTCTTCCTTCTATCTTGCTTTAAACTGTTATTACTGGTTTACCCAAAAATGACCTTGAATTATCAGAAATAGACTATAATGTCTGCAGTTTCCCAAACTGGAGTTTCACTGTTGGAGTTAAAGTTTTTTTTTTCTTGCTACAGGTGTGATTTGACATGAAACATAATTTATATGGTGGAAAGGATCTTGCCTGATTCTTGCGGAAGACAAGTATTTTACTGGGAAGTTGTGCGTAATATTATGGCAGGAATAGTATTTTACTAAAATGTGTTGGTTTATATGTTTGCATGTATAATTAAAAGCCGCAAAAAGGCAGTCAATTATCAAGTTCATTAATGTCTCAGGTTTTTCATGATATTGAAAATGAAGTAAAATAAATTTCAACTTAAGGCCAACAATCAGGTGTTAAGTGTTTGGTGGACTTACTGAGAATGTTTTTTATAGCATTTTTCATGCTGTTGGTTGTCCCAAAGTGCTATATGACCTACAAAGTATTTTCAATATATAGTTACTGTTG